TTAGTCCAGTGAGTCGTATTTAAAAAACCAAAAGATATCATCATATCTATACCACCAAAACATTATGACACTTTTCAATTCCGTAAATATTAATTAGTTCGACTGTTTCATCAAACAAAATATTAGTTCGAGTGAAGATAAAAAAAACATATTCATGAACTATACAGACTTCATTTTTCGCACTTTGGCTCAACCACTGTATAAAGAAATCAACATTCTAAATAAAGTAATGATAAAATATCTTGTAATTAAGATAGATAGTTTTTTTTTGTTGATAAAATTGTAATTAAGATAGTTTGTAAACTTTATCACGATTATATAAGATCATATTGGTTTGACCAACAGTAATTAGCCTACATATCGGAGTTTTTAAGTAATACTCCCTCTATTTCTTAATATAATATGTTTTGGAGGTTTTTTTGTTTCATAATATAAGATGTTCTTGTATTTCACTTTTTAGTTTTATTGAATACTGTGTGACCAATAATCTTATGCAGTATTTTTTTATAATTGACTGAATTGTTTTAATTAATATATTAAATTTTACTTTTTGAAAGAAAAAATTATTTTTTAATGTTTGTGATTTTAGGCAAAACATCATATATAAAAAAACGGAAGGAGTATTAAATTCTCCATTTTAGATTTATTTTCACCAAATCATTGTAGAGTTATCACGAAAAAGATCGTGAAACTGATCACTGAAGATTCTTTAACTACCTGATCATATATATAAAACTTTCCGAGTTTTCATGTCTTTTGGATTCGTAGAAACTTATTGTATCTCAAAAATAAGTTGTTAGTCTATCAAAAAAAAGTTTTGGACAAAAGTCTATCAATTGTAAACTAGATAGTGTAATAAATAATCATCGCTGCAGGAAGAGAAACTAGGGAACCAAGCTGTTCCATATTTTTAATATTGGTATTTACTCAGAAAGTCACACTTAGGATAAGATAATTATCTAAATAATGCAATGAATTAATGATTATTAACAAATAATTGTATGATTTGGTGTTGCCCGGTCTTTTAAGATGTCTTCCTTTTCTATCTTTTCGTTTTCTTGTCCTTTTCGAATTTTCGGTTGCTTCGCAACTATGTGATTTGAAAATTATGGATCATCTCTATTTTCCATGTTGAGAAATTTCAAAAAATGTCATTTTTCAAGTATCACTTTACAAAAATACCATGAAATCTTTATAAAAATACCACTTTTTCAAAATTATTTTTTNTTTATATTATTTATGTTTTGGTTAATTATATTCTATTAGAGTTTAGTTTTGAGTGTTTAGGGGGTTTTAGGTGTCAAAACATTTTTTAAAGTTTAGAATTTTAAGATATAGGTTTTATAAATCTATAATTAGTGACATTTTTGTAAATGAACATTCTTAAGTGGTATTCTTGCAAATGTGCACACAAAAAATGGTATTTTTGTAATTGCCCCAAAATTTTTTGTTATGGGACTATGGTTTAGGCCTAGCGTTTTGTTTCCAACAATTTGTAAGCCTTAAACTGTTCATTTCTTAATAATAAATATTTACATTTGTAGCGCACAAAAAAAAATATTAATGACATTTTTTTGGATCAACAAAGACATATCTTATCTAATTGTATATTTCTACTACGTGACTATCTTTCTATAGTAAGTTTACATTAAAAGGCAATTCAAACTCTCACAATCATTTTTAAAAAAAAACATCAAACTCTCACAATAATCACATCCATTTTGTTCGTTGCACCAATTGCCTAAGTTACTTAGTAATCTCCTTTTTTGTTCAATACTTAGTAATCTCTATAATTGCAAACACTCGCTTTCAAAAGATTGAATAAACATCGGTACATACCAATATTTTTTTATCTTGATGAAATACATTTGTCTGGGAAAAAAAGTTATTGATGAACGAAATATGAATATCAAATCTGAGTTTAGTATGATCAAGAGACCAAAATTTCCCAATTGTACGACTAACTCTTTCAAATTTTAAACACAACTAAAATTATTAACATATTTAAGTGGGGACATATATGACCTCTATTAACCCACATAGGTCCGTCCATGATAAACATTCACCGAGTCTCTTTTGTTTTTTGTATGACTAGAAATCCATACTAATCCAAATTAAATATTAAAATATATATTCACTACATAAATTTTACAGTTACATGACAAGCATGTATAACAAAACCGATCCTTGACCTAAACATGAAAATAAAATCAACGAGTACAAACTTTTTGTTGAATCATACTGGCATCTCTACCGGATTCTCTAACCATATAAGAAATCTTACAAACAGAAAATGGAAAAAAAATCAAAGATGTGATGGCCAATTGATAACATAAGGAGTTTGTTCCTCTATGTCCAAGATTCAAACTTTTTTTAATACAAAAAATTATTCTTTAAATCGGATTATATAAAGACTGATTTTAGGGGAGGAGATTATGAGCATAATATTCGGAAATTCCACGATTTATAAAAAAAATTAACAAAAAAACCTAATACTTCATCCTATTTAATGATGGGATTTGTGTTTTATGTAAGAAAACATAAAACGTTAATTAATCGATCAGTTGCAATTTCCAAATATATAAAAGGACTAGATTCTCACCCGCACTATGTGCGGGAACATTCGTTGTATATTGTTGTAAACTATATTTGGTTTTCATAGTAAATCGTATATATGTTCTAAATTTAGATATTGTATGTTTTTAACTTGTAAATAGAATCAAATAGTTTGAAATAATATAATAGTTTTTGTTTTAAACTTATTGGTAGAAATCGAGTAGTTTAAAGTATTGTATTTTATATTGAATAGTCATCAGTGGA